TATATCGGATGTTTTTTTAACCTATTGTCACGTTCACACTGCATTTTCGACACGTGATCCATATATATCCTATTAACATTCTAAATTAATATTAGTTATTGAAAAAAATTTAGACACAAACGTTGAATTACTTGTTTATAAACAATGTGCCTAGATAAGGAGTGAAAGATAAAACATATTTGAAGATCGAAACGTATAAAACTACATGCTATTATACTAGAAGGAGCGATTCATTCTCAAAAGAGATACAATATTTGTTATATAATCAATCTCTACAAAATGGCAAAGAAAAATATGTTCTAGACTTCTACTTAACTGTAAACCTTTTCCATATTCTTCTCATTAGCTATTTCAAGACTTGTTAGGTATTATTCTGTACATTTTTTCACATTTTATGAAATTAAAATGGTTTCAAAACAAATATATTCAATATTAAAATAAAAGAAAGTTTCGTAAATAATAATAAGAAATTAATTTTATTTAAATAAATTGTTTTATTTTCTATTATTAAATGAATAATAATTGATAAAAGAATGATAAGAAATATTGAAGTTAATTGAAGATGTTTTAGGAAATGAGATTTATTATTTTTTTTTCAAGAATTAATCAAAAACAAATTGATTTTCAAATAAATTTTGATGAAAAACGAATATATTTATTTTATTGTTTCTGTTCCAACATTCACCACAAGAAATTGTTTTGAATAAAATCAAAGCATTTGAAAATCGTGTTAGAACAATACAAAATCAAATAAATAATTTTTATTTATTTACCAAGATGATATGTTTGAATATATGTGGAATGTTTAATGAATAGTTTTTAAAAATAAATAGATGTTGATGATATTGAAATGCAAAAATAATATGTATGTTTTTTTATTCTTTTTAATAAGATCAAATCATTCATTAATTTCTTCAGCGCAATTTAGTTTTCTTTGAAAATTTCTTCGCAATCTGTACATCTATCGAGAGTTAACTTTTCATTCTCTTCATTTTGTGTTACTACACAATGAATTATTTCTAACAGTCATGTCAAGAGAATCTTTCACGTTAGTTTCTTATTGTTTGATATGTTATAGATAGTATATGTAAGATAAGAAAATGAAATTTCTAGCCTTGCCACATTTATTTTTATCTTTCTATTCTTCTATACACAGAATCGAGTGGTGTTTTCGAATAGCTTATACACATCATATGAATAAACTTTTAACAGAAAGAAAAGCGCATATTTACATAATGAAAGGACATATCTAGATGATAATTTTCATAGAATAGATTTTAAATTTTTGAGTTATTGGTGATAGAGTAAAAGGATAATCATGTGGTCATAGGAGAGTAAAGAAAATAAAAACTTTCTATTCTAATTGTTTTAATGAAAAGTATCGCACTGTTATAATGAATGATTAAATAGTTACAAAGAGAGAAAAAAGTATTTTTCGTTTGAGTTTCTTGTTAAAATAACATTTAAGTTTGTTTATATTGATAGTAGAATTCTAGTCTTATGATTTCGCTGATGAATACTATTGCAAGAATAACAAATATCTAATAATAAATCTTATACTAGATAATTTTACTTTTTATCTTAGGAATGTACAGTTCTGGTCATCATTAACAATTGATTTAATTCAGAAAATTCAAAACAATGATATTTTATGATACAAAAACACAAACGTTTTCTAAGCTTTATTATTTATAATTTATAAAATGAAATCTATATAATTAAATGGTTATGATCAAATAAAAAATAAATTGAATTGATTGTTTTTCATTTGTCTTATTGAATATATATTTAAGAATCTATATATAAATTGTTAACAACTGGCAATATCTTAAAATAAAATGTACGAAAAAAAAATTGTTAAAACTGAATAAATCTAATTAAAAATAGAAAAAACAAACTTATGTGGCATTGAATATTATAAGAACTTAAAAAGAAAAAGAAAATAAAGATAAACTGAATAGTGAATAGTATTATTAATGAAGTAATTAATATAGATTGAGAAATTATTTTGTTTTCTATTGATAATAACTCATAATCATATACAAGTCGAGTTATCTCACGTCGTGCACTAAGTAGGACATTATGAACATATCCATAATTATCAATATTTATTGCTTCATCAGCAACTAAAGAATTTTTTAATATTTTTTTGTTTTCTACGAATGATAAGATTATTTTAATAAATGATTGAATTATTTTTTTTAAATTTTCATCAATTTGTTTTTAGTCAGATGCAGATAATTTCTCTTTTTTTAATTCATTTGTTTCAATTAATAATGGAAGTCGAGGATATTCGTTAAGAACAGAAGAAAAAGGATTTTTTTTCACAATAAATTCAGCACACTTTTATCTTCAGAAGACTTTTTATCATTTAATGGAATAAATTGACCAAATAAAGAATAAATAATATCAATAGAAAAATGATAAGTTTTAGGAGCAAGAAGATTTATTCGTTGCAGAACTGAATAAAGTAAAGCACCGTGTTGTGCATAAGGAAAATAATAATCATAATAAGATTCAATTGTATCGAACATTTCATTCGCTTGATCAACTATTCCACCTAATAAATATTTTCTTTTCAATGCAACAGATGTTAAAATCACTCGATCCCCTTCGAATTCATCACTAAAATAGAAAACATATTTTTATTCTTCAATCAATACTTGATTTGTAAATAAACCTGACTGCATTTGATTTAAGAAATGAATCAATTGCTTCAATTCTTAGTTGACATAAAAGTATTAAACGAAATATTGATAATTTTCTTTGATATAAATTTGGTTGAATACGTTGAAAAATTTGTTGTCGCAAATCATCTAATAATGTTTCAACACTATATTGACAATTAATAGATGTTGTTAATAATGATAATGATGATGAAACTTTATCAAGTGAATCACACATTGTATGAAAATAAAAACGAAGTAATGAATTACAATATAAATGATGACCACAATACATAATTAAATTTCAATCTAAATAAATATTTTAGATTTAAATAAGAAACGAAGAAGAAAGTTGATATACCATCATTAGAATTTGGTTCTTGTCATATTGCTTTCCATTGTGCTAATGGATAAAGAAGACTATTTAATTTATTACAATTTTTTATATAAATCTTTGAACCAAACAAAAATGATTGTTCAATTGACATTTCAACATCATGTTTTGATCTTTAAAATTAAAAAAATATTTTTAATATTTATTGTAAACTGACTATTTAGTACAAGAATAAAACATACTGATCATCCAAATGAAATTTCTGAAGATTATAATATTTTTCCATCCATTGATCATATTGTCCAAATGGATCAATAAGAAGTAGAGGATATTCAATTGATTTAATAATAATTGTATGATTTTCCATTTCTGATGGTAAAACTTCGTCACTTAACTTAACCATTCATAATATATTTGATCACCTAATAAAAATTTCATTAAAGAAAATAGCATTTAATGATATTCAAGTCCACCAAATTATTTTTGTTCGTCAATTATCTAAAAAGAAATTTTCTTTGTAATTTTTCAAATAAAAATAAAAACTCATTTACTTGTAGTAAATTTTCTTTAATAGGATCCTAATTATTAATTTATAATTCGACATTTAGTAGATGATATTTGATCAAAAACAATAGTCATTCATCTATCTCTAATACATTAAATCCAATGGACAGTTAACCTAAGACATCAAAATCCATATGTATATGGACAAAGATAAGTTAAAAATGCTAATACAATTGTACATGTACCATTTAATGTTGATTGATGTTCTACACTTGTTTCAAATATTTTACTTGTTCGTTCTAATTCTCGAGATAAAATCTAGAAAAATAAATATTTCAAAAATTTTTAACAAACTTGATTTAATTCAGATGCAGTTTTTAATTGATTTTCTTTCATTGCAACTGTTGCTTCTTCAAAATTTTATGAAAGATCTTTTAAACGAGTTTGTAAAGCTCAATCATATGTATTTTATTTTAATATAAAAATGTTCAACAATAAGAAACTAACTTGACTTTTAATATCTAATAAAATTAATTTTTGATCTTGTTCTAATACATCTTCTTAAATTTCTTTATGTTTCTGATGTATTGATCGAACTTTTTTAAGTAAAACTGTATGATATATATATAAAATAATAATAGTAATATTTTTTTTCCAAATAACTCACTGTAAAGCTCGTTTAGCCCATTTCTAAAGTGTTAAAACAACATTATAATAAGATGTTTGATTAAGTGGTGAATTTTCAAGTTGAACATTATCAATAATTCCACTAATTAAATTAATATGTTCTTCTGTTAAATTAATTTTATCAAATAATTGAGTTTCTTCAATTAATCTATCAAGATTAGCTAAGTGTCTTTTCACACCTTTTTGCCATGTTATATCAGCTGTTGGAGATTTTATTATTATTATTATAAAATTTTATAAAACTAGAAAAATAAAAAATATTCTAAACTTACAAATCATAATAATAGCAGCTAATCTTGACGGGTGTGGTGTGGGCAGATCTGTGTCTAGGTGTGGATACATACCGGTATTCTTTTCTTTGCACAACCTCACGCACACTCTCACCCCACACCCTAATTTACAATTTTTCACATTAGTGGATTCAAATGATGAACATGAATAAGATGAGTTTTGAAAACTTCGATATGGATCAACAATTCTAAAACATTATTTTTAATTAAACATGTTGTAGTTGACATATTTGCATTAACAGTTCGTGAAATAATATTAGAAAATGATTCTAATAAATCATAGTCTTGATCTATATGCTTATTTAAAGCAGTTGTAATCTTTTTTTCGACATAAAAGAATACAATGATGTTTTTTTATTACAACCATATAACCATCATTCAGCCATAATGGGCATCTACGAGCAATTTGAGGAGTTGGTACATTTGGAATCTAGAAAAGATAGAAAATATTTTTACAAAACAACAATTTAAATATGTTCTTTTTACAATACCATAATCATTAGTTATCAATTATCAACAGTAATTGGTTGACTAGAAAATATCCAAAATAAAAGATATTATTTCTTTTTCTAAGATCTATAATACTTTTCTCATTCATTACTTTCAGTTTATTTTTATAATTTAAAAATATATATCTGTCATATTGATTCTAATAATATTAATTTACTTTTTCAATATTATAAGTAATATCTACAGTTAAAATATGAAAATAAAACTCAAATTTTTTAATCGATTAAAATCTATAAATAATAAATCATCTTCTAAAAGATTTTAATAATAATAAATTCTTTTGTATAAAACTATGATAATAAACAACTATATTTTTATTCAATTGCTTCAATTTGAAGTATAGATAATGAAATATTTCATGACTTAGGATTAATTTAAAAATAAAACTAAATTCAATACATTTTAATTGTTTAGTAGATATTATTACTAGAAGATAATTTCTAATAAAGATTAATTATGATCATATAGTATATATACATTTTCTCTTCATCTTCTCTTCTGTCAGTATTAAAATAGTACTATAATATCTGTGTTTTTTTCATTTATATTTCTTTCATTTTTATATCTCGAATATTATACATGTTTTCTCTCATAATGTTGATTTACAATCTGACAAAGATTTTGTTTTTATTTTCATATGAGAAATAGTATGTAGTCAGTTAATCATTTCTTTTAATTGTCGGTATATATTTAAATGAAATACGTATGAATCTTTTCTTTTCATATCATATGTGTTACTAAATTCACCTATTACTATCGTTCTTAATATGTAAGCACAGATATCTTTCTCGATTCTGTGTCTATGTATCTATCAATAAAAGTTTATCTAAAACTTATAAATAATAGTAAATGTTATAGTAACGTCAACAAGGTATAATGGAGATAAAACAAATAACACAGCATCCTCACAAGTACACCATTATCTATTCTCAATTTTATTATTTCAATAATATTATATTTAACTTTCTACGTAAATATTTATGTCTTTAACTCTATACTTAGTTTTTATTTAAAACTATTTCATATTTAAATTAAGGTCAAGAAAGTTCTTACTTAATAATTTATCAGACTTAAAATTGTTATCGAGTAAAGAATTAACTTCCTCAACTAATCTTTTATAATCATCGAATTTTTATCCATATTGATAATGAATAAATAGAAAAAAGATATTTAAGTTCTAATTGATGATCTTCTAAGTGTTTTTTTATTTATTGTGTTCAAATAAACGATGATGTTCAATGAAATGTTGAAGATAAACCATATTCATACAATCATGTGCAGAATCAAATAAACGAACAGTCGTTTGATTATATCATGTCGTCTCACCACATCGATCGACTAAAGTCAAACATGATAAGTGTTTAAAATGAATCGAATTTATATATTCGTTAAAAATGATGAGAAAAAATCTAGAAGTAGAATTAGATGAAAAGAAATAAGAAGAGAATTGTATTTCTTCGATATATGTATGTGATTTGATGATGTAAAGCATGTATACTACGATGAGTGACATCTGGTTGAAGCAGGGAAATGAGAAAATAAAAATATTACACAGATTACTTAAAATAGATTTGCTTAAAAACTGTGCTTTTATTTTTCAAGTAAATTCAGTCTGGTTTGGCTGATGATGGCAGAGGCGCTGGTTGTTATAGTAATGAATCGAAGAATGGCGTCGGATGTGGGTATGGGTAATTGTAGGAGATTACGAGAGATCGATATAGAATACGTACATTCATCCCTACTTATTCTAGTAACGATGTGATTAGAATTGTGAATCAGATATAATACTCATATTCACTCTAATGGAAATAAAATATTAATAATTTATTATTTATCTGTTTAAACTAAACTTGCTATATAATAAACTATTTTGTTTTGATAAAATTATCAACACTTGATGAAGTGTTACTTCTAATTATTCATATGTTATTTGGCTAAAAAATGAAAAGAAAAATATAATTAAATCAATAACAAACCAAATTTATGTTTTACATATGAATAAATACAAGATAAATGTTATCACTTTTGATAAAATTAAATAAATGATATAAAAAATAACAATAAAAATAGTTTTGATAAAACAAAAATATATATCAAAATGTTATGACAAAAGATATGAGTAAGAATAACAATTGAGAAATAAACGATAGTTTGTAAGAAATATTTAATTATTATTTAAACATTGTTGTAAAATATGTTTCAATCGACATCAATTATATCTTCGTTACCAGGATAAATAAGTATATGACTAAACGAATTTAAAAACTTTAAATAATTTGTACTTGTTCTTTAATTCTCCAATGAATTGAAAGTGGTAATTGAGTATTTATTGAATGGTAAATTTGACAGAATGAATTTAAATTACAACAAAAATTAAATTCTTTTCGATAGAATATAAACAATCAGCACAAAATGATGTATTTGTTAAATTTCTAAATTCACTTACTAAACAAAACATAATTCCTACTGATTGAATACGAGATTTATATATTAGATTTTCTATACGTGGACATAGAAAAAATAATTCTTCAATAATATAGTCAGTAGAACGTATTTGAAGTACACGAATTTGTTCAATCATATCAATTGTTACATTATTTTCTATAGTTAAATTATATAATCGAGGCATAGTATATTTCAGACATGGAAAAGTTAATAAATAATCAATTGATGGTATAATAACATGTTCGACTCAAATAAGATCAATAATTGATGTAAGTGTTTTAATATAAATTCAACGATAATTATTATAGTGAAGAAAATTTTTATTCATTGTAAATTTATTTAAATGATAATACATGATAAAATAATTCGATTCTGTTGAATGAAATGATAAGATATTATTAGTATTCATATGAATAGGTGTAAAACGAGGTAATGTAAACAGATATTCATTGTGAAAAGCAACATACCAATGTTTTTCTTCGAGCCAAAATGATGTTCGAAATGACTTAAGTATTTTTTGCACATTAAATTTGAAATTAAATGTTATAAAAGAATTAACTAATTGCTGTCAAAAATAATCATTAACAACATTCTCCAAAATATTTGCTTTCAATTCTAGATGTTTTAAATAAATTAAACTAGATAATAACTGTTCTATTTGATCTTTTGAAATACGTTGATCTATAAAAAATAATTTAATATAAATAAATTCATACATATACATGTACTTTTAATTTCTAGATTAAGACGAATGAGTTGATTTAATGGTAAAATAAATGAAATATTTAACATATTCATATCTAAATAAATATAAAGTAATTTTAATTGTGATGAATTTTCAAGAATAATTCTTAAATCATCAAAGCAAGATTTTGTAAGTTTCCATTGATGTAGATTAAGCAATGGTATCGATATTAAATCCATTGAATAATTCAAATAAATATGATTTAATTGTGATAATATTTGTTTATAACTATTAAATAATAAAGATTTTAATTGATTAGAATCATTTAAGTAATTATTATTTCATGCTGAGAATCTATGTCTTATAGTTTCAATATTAAATGAAAATGAACGTAAGTGACGAAGTTTCTATAAGATCGAAAAAATAGATTTTAATGATTTAATATCAATTTCAGTCAATGTAAGTAATCGTAATTCTGTAGATTGTTCAATTGGATAACAAGAAAGAAAAAGTTCAGATTGAATAAATCTATTATTATCATCTGACAGTGTGAGTGCAATAACTCCTTCTAGGAAAATACGATGAGGTTTTACTATAAAACGTCGAAAGTTAAAAATGGCGCTACCTACCACGTCTTTTTTTCGACATTTTTACTGTTCGACATTTTACAGTAGAACCATATTTAAATTAACTATTGATGTTGAATAAAGACAACAATCTTGTCTGTAACTACTAAACATGAGTTTATTATCATCATCAAATAAGATTATGTTAGCATATGGTTCTGTCTTCGTTATCATCTTATTCACATCAAAATAAATATGCATTCCTCATACTATATGATTCGATATTATTTTGCATAGAAAAGAATTTATATTTACAATTCTTATTACTTATTACTTCGAATGATACTTCACTATAAGGTGTGTCTTTTTGAATGGATATTGTACATGTGAGAAATGATTGTGATTTTTGGTCTTACTTAGATTGTTGCACAATATGTTTTTGTCTTACTCTGATATCTGCTTTTGAACTCCAATATTGGAGAACATATCTATTTATATGAACTACTACTCCGTATGATGTTAGTATTGTTGGTTGTTTTGCTTCATTACCAAGAATAATATGATTATAAATACATTGACGAATAAAATGCGATACTAAACAATATATAAACATAGCACTTTATAAATAGTAACTTCAATTATTTATAACTGATGTATTTTTTGATAAACAAATTCTGTATAATATTGTAAAACTTTAATCTTTATCATTGAGAATCGACGGCTTTTTGTGTTGATTCTATTATAATCAGAATCATCGTTTGTAAAATAATATTATGAAAGATTGGATTCAATATTCGATGAAAACGATCATATTCCTGACCCTTGCTCACTAATAAATCATGAAATGGTTATATTAAAAATACAAACGAATTTAAAATAATTTAAAATGATTGAATATATTAAGTCTATCTTTTTCTTATTAGGGTGTGGGTGAGTAGTGTATCAATCTTACATCCACACCCATACCCACCTACACCCACCCACATCCACACCCACACCCTCAAGATAAAGGTACAACTTTCTTTCTCTAAATAATTTATATTGAAAAATTATACTTTCTAGGATGAAGCATCTTATGGAAAACAAAATGATAAACATTTAATTTTATGCCCTTTCACTAACGCTATGCTACATTTGACTGGATGTTGTCCAGCACAATCGAAACAACCCACGACGATGATTCCTGCAGCAGTATTCTGCAAAATTCCGGTGAAAATCGTCAGGAAACTCGGCGTTCCTGGTCAAAACCTGTCGGAAAAAGCGAGTGATCCGACATAAGGACCTGATGACCGGTAACGGCTGCCGGTTTTAACGAGTTCCTGTCGGTTCCAGGTGACACCCGACCAATCCGCGGAACAGATCCGGTTACCGGAATACTACACCCTTGAAATATGCGGAATACTGTGGAACCGATCGTTTCCGTGCCGGATTGTTTGACATGGATTTAGTCTCACTACAACAAAACATCATATTGAATTATTTTCACCAGACAAATTTATGATGTTATTTAAAAGACAAACATTAACTTAAAAAAGATTGTGTTGAGCGTTTATACAGGGGCATTTATAAATAGTGATGATCCTAGAGAAACAAAATTATTTGATGAAAATGAGCAAATTATTGACCATGATCGTTTTATCCCATGTCCATTCACTAATGCTATGATCAAATTAATTAAAGGTTGCCCAAAACAAGCACAAAATATGCCTAATGAAAAACAGTCTTTGAATAAAAAAAATATAGAACAACATCTACGACAACATCGTTAACTTAATTCTACAAATCCAAGACGATGATTCCTGAAGCAGTATTCTGTGAATTTCCGGTGAAAACCGTCAGGAAACTCGTCATTTCTGGTCGGAACCTACCGAAAGAAGCGAGCGATCCGGTTTAAGGTCCTGGTGACCGGTTACGGCTGTCGGTTTAGGTAGAACTCAAGCAATCCACGGAACAGATCCGGTCACCGGAATACTACATCCATGAAATATGCGGAATACTGTGGAACCGACCGTTTCTGTACTGTATTGTTTGACATGGATTTCGGCTGGGTTTGGGTGTGGGTGAGTTTGGATGCGTGTGGTGGAGGATGGTTCTTTTTAGACCCATACCCACGCTCACACCAATTTGTCACTCTTTGATTCTATAGATATTATTAAATTAAATGTCATATATACTATAATCAAAATATAATACTTTGTAGTGATTAAATTACGTAGAAATAGTTATTTCATATAAAACATAATTAATCACATTTATTTTTCATTGCTCCATCTTAAAAACAAAAATTATTATTTTTTTGTTAAATAAATAGATTAATCAAGATTTTACTTGTCATGTTAAAAGAGAATATCCAAAATATAAACAATATTCAGTTGAATCATAATTGACAAGCAACGATGCACAAACAAGATCAGATAAATGTCCAATGAATGTAAATATTTCTATTGATGAAAAAATGAATTGAGAATATCATTGACAAAGAGTATATTAATTTCATACTAACCATACAATTTTCTATGGAATTATATGAATCGTTGTAGGTGAACATATAGATTATTTGTTTTCTACTTTCCTTCACATATGTGTTTGTATAAGATTTTTTCGTTTCGCTATTTTAATGCATTTTTCTTCTGTTCTTAGTTTGACTTATATTGAAATGTGTTATTTCGAAATGATGAACAAAAGAATATTCACTTAATTATTTTTCCTAGAATATATGTTGTATTTCAAGAGATGAGAATAATCAAAGTCACTACTTCTTGTTTTATAAATACTTGAGTTTTCTTCTTAAATAAATGAACTATGACTAAGTTTCTAAAACTATCATCTGCTTCTACAAGATACGATAAGATTGTAACAACACATTTTTTTATAATACACATGGATTATATAAATGATAATATTACAATAAAGTCAAAAATGTTAATTAATAAAATCTAGAAAGTAACTACTAAGTACTCCTTCATTTTTTGCATAGGTTTTTTTATCTTAACAGTTTCACGAATAAAATGTTAAAAATTTATAACCAATTAAATATGTCTTATATTCGGTTTATTTTATTAAAAAAATTATAATTCAAGATTGTAAAGATTTGTATCTCTCAAAATAATCTGTTACTTTTTTTGCATTGAACTAATGAATATTTATTTAATATTACGTATATAAAAATATCTCTTGATTAAAAACAAACAATATTTATTTATAGATTAAAAAGACGGACATTTGTCTATGATACGCTTTATTTCGTTTATTATATATTTATTATAATAAAACAAAAAAAAGAAGAAAAAGTAAAATAATCCATATAATAGACATCATATGTATTTTAATGCAGAAAAGATAATGGGTTATGGCACATTAATTTTTTATATTTCATTTGTTTTTACTTAATTTATTCTTACTCGATCATACTCTTTTTTTTTATTTTATAAGTATGACGAACAATGTCACAGATCATTGTCTAGATATTCCATTCTTAATTACATCTCGAATGTATCTTAATGATAATAATTATGTAATTATTTTTATTTATTAATATTATTTTTTTAATTCTATAGTTACTTGAAATACATCAAGTAGAATCACATGGAACAATAACTTAAAAATAAAATTTTCTTTTCTGTTTTTTTTGTTTATAGTTCCGCGAAATTATTCTGATCGAGCAAATTGTATTTGAATACCACCTAATACACCACCTGCACAAATTAAAAAATTATTATTTTGACAACGTTGACATACAGTAAATTTACTGAATTTGTTTTAGAAAAACTTATATGTAAATTCTATTTCGATAACAATATCTGTTTTATCAAATATTTGATATTCTATAGGAATATATAATTAATATTAATATTATTTCATAGACACTTGGATATTTTTGTGTAGAATAACCATTTACAAAACTGTCTACTTTTATCATTCAGCAAAGAGATATTAGATTTAGCTCATTATTTTTATAGAATATGTAAAACAAAAAGTTCTACTGGTACTAAAGTTTTCAGTATAATATTTTGTATCTTTCGAAAGATATTTAAATTAAATTAGAAAATATAAAATGATATATTTTTAATTCCAAGTACATCAAGTGCATCTGTGTAATTTATCATCGAATTTAACAGAAAATGACGTATGTATCATGTATCGCATTTGTTATACAAAAAAGTGTTGAGAAACTATTGTATATATATATATATGTATATGTATACACAGTGTAAAATAAATTTGTTTTGATCCATTTTCGTTTCTTCATTGAAATCGTTCAAAAATAGATTGTAATTCAATTATATATGTACCAGAGCGAAGCACTGGGCAGGATACGCCGCACATACTGCTGTCTTATCTTGTCCTACAGGTGACGGTTTCAGTTTTTGTCCTGTCATTTGACATGATAATTTGTTATAAACTTTACTTTAAAGCTTCTACAGAACTCCTCTGATGATTGACAATGATCAATATTTCTATTTATAATACGATGGATAATTATCAAATTCATTCAAATTGCTCGAGGTTTTGAAGAAATACGCTTCTGTTTTAAAGAGAATACTTGGCTTAGTGGTATTATCACATCATTCACAATTGATAGTAATATAGTTAGTATTTATGCTCGATCTAATAAATTCTTTTTAGCATTGAAATATTATTCAGTAATCATTACAGCTTAAACTAGACTCAACTATGTCATCTTCTGACTATGTAGATACTACTATTATTCATAACCATATATATCTTGTGAAAACTATGATAAAATACTTAGTGCTACTTTAAAAATATTATCAAATAATTATTTGATGATTTTAAACTAAACAACTGATATAGTTACTACTAAAAGGCATTCATAACTTGATGCTAATTAAAAACCTATATTGATTAAAATAGAAAAATATCGTTTAATCTCATGTATCAAATTGAACAAATTTTGGTTAACTATCAGATAGAGTTAATATCGCATCTTAGTTAATTCTTTTATGTACTTTTATTTACTTTTATTGGATAATGTTACGATTATCAAAATGCATTTCGATGTAAAATCTTACTTTTTTGTTTTCTGTTTCATTTTATTTAAAACATAAGTAATAATTAGTATAATAATATGCTATATCATATATCGCATTGTACACCCATAATAGCATAACATGCGATCATAGCTGTGTTCTCAAAGAAGATTTCATAATGATGATAATAATATATATATATTCAAAATCTGTAGTATCGATTCGCAAATTCAATATTTTTAAGTCAATAAAAGATGCTACTTGTAATAGAAAAAATAAAAACAATAATATAAATTTAATATATTCCAGTTTTTTCATTCATATCAAGCGCTAACAAAGAAATACTCTGTTTTGTATATGGTACGATAAAGTACTGAAATGGATACGAGATCATTCTAACAGATGTATTTAACTTGTAAGGACTGATTGACTATTTCTTGTAAAATCCTTTTTTTAAAATACAATATGCTGCATGTACGCATGAGTAATCCGTACCCGATATCACTTCAAGATTTTGTTTTTGAAGAAACCATTTTTCTACGCAACGAATTATAAATAGGCAAGTTTATTATTTATTATTCAATAAAACATATTAGTATCTTGGTTTTTTCTTTTTTATCATTTCAAATCAAAATACGATAAATCTTTTTTTGTCTTCTTCAATATAGTGTTATGAATCGTATATCTCATAGAATAACAACAACAACATTTTTCACTTATGTCGAGAAGTATCACTACTGCTACAGGATAGAAATAGTTTTAAAATTGAAGAAAACTAATTATCATCTATACAATGTGCTAGAAATTACAGATTTGTATATCGAATTAATATCTGGTAACAACTTCTATTGTAAAAATAGCTTCTTATCATTATTTTTTTCTGTCAATTCGAAGTAAATATAATCATTGAACAATTTATATTTAGAAACGATCAATACATTTAAGTATTGTTAAATCAAAAAATGAAAATGGAAATGAAATACTTTTGAAATTAAATCAATGGATAAAACAAGTCAAATATAATACCTTCGATAATAATGATATTTTAACAAATATTTTAATTATTATTCGATATATAAAATCTATATTATTACTTCCATATATTGAATTTATAATTAATTATACCGAATCGATGTAAAACAAGTCGATGAATTTATTCACCATAAACAATAATCTATTCAACAAATTTTATTATTACAAGGCTAGTTTCATTTTCTTCAACATACAGATTTAAAACAAATAATAATAATAACAATTAATTCACAACATTATAAGTTTCCAATAATTTCATCTTAAATTGAATTAATAATGTCATATATACAAAAAGATATTGAGATTACAAAATTTGATTCGAAAGAAAAATATTTTTAATATTTTATTGAACAAACAGATAAGTGGATTCAATGGTTTGATAAGTTTTTATCAATATCATTATATATAATTGAATGGTTAAGAAATTGGAAAGCTGCTCAATTATTTACTGATATACATGTAATAAAAAAAGATGATTCATCTATTACATTTATTCAAATGAGAAAAATCGTTGAAAGAATATTAGAAATTCTTCGATGATTTTGTGATTTATTTAATTGTTTAACATCATTTTAATTAATTGATACAGATGCATTAAATAATCGAACTGATTCGACAAATTATGTTCGAGAATTAAAACGATTTCAACCTAATAATACATTTACAGTAGTAGGAAAAATGCTTTCGGAAAATATATTTTTAATTAATTATCGGCATAATATTTAATAGTGTATTGCTAGTGAAAAATCTCCTTGTAATATTCAAATTCGATATCAAACAATTGAATTAGAAGATGAAAATCCAATATTATTTGATCAAGAAATAATTCCAATCGAGAAATATGTTCTACAAGGAGAATTTGAAACACATCGATCTCGTCAACTAATATTAATAATGAACAATCACGTTCTCCACGTACAATTTGGTATCGAATAAGTTTCATTCCATTATGAACTTGTCATCTTCTTCATGGGATATTTAATATGTTCTATTAATTACTTGATAAAGTCTATTCAATTTATTGATAGGATTTGAAATGGTAATATTAGTTTAAAAGATATGACTAATCTTAAAATTGTATTTTGTGATAAAAATATTCATATATGAGAAAAAATTAAAAAAACTTTTTACTAATCGTTCTTCTGAACATAGAATAATTATGAATAAACAACAAACAACAACAAATATTTCTACTGATAAAGAAATAGATCAAGTTCGTGAATGGCTTCAAATTTATTAATATTATTATAAATTGTATTAAAAAATTTGATATGTTAACAACTGATACTAATGATAGATTAATTACTTATTTAAAACATTTATATGATGAAAATTGTTCATTAAAACAAATGATACGTGCTTATAATATTTTAAAACAACAATTTCAAAATCTTTTAAATCAACATTTACAATTAATTAATATAGCACTTCAATGTTCATCTGTTATTGAAATAATGAAAAAATCTGATCTATATTCATTTCATGAATATCAAAGATTTTAAGAATTATGAGATAATTTAACAACACAATATCAACTTCAAGAAGAAAATTATAAAATACATGATCGAACTAGTAAGAGAAAAACGGTTTTCCTTACTGTGATCGAAAGTAAAAATGTCGAAAAAAGGACGTGGTAGGTAGCGCTATGTTTTCGACATTTTTACCATTCGACATTTTTGCTTTCGATCAAAGTAAGGTAAAGCTAGTTCCAAATCTTGGTTCATTAACAATGAAACAAATAATAGATGAAGCAAAGTCATTTTCATAAATAGATTTTCAAACAAATAATTATCCTCGTACATATCTTGTATTATATGATCCGAATTTTTCATTCCATTTATTACATGATGATTGGATTAATGTTTTACGTGAATTAAAATAATTATTTAATAATTAAAATCCTTCGTTAAGACAAGAATTTCAATCTAAAGATCATTTTATTAAATGCTTATCATGGTTAATCGATATAAAATATCATGATTTTGAACAAAGTATGAATGAAACCAAATTGATCTTAACTGAAAATTTTGTTTATAAATTATTTCATCTTCATGAACTTAAATTAACAAAATTATCTTTAATTATTGAAGATATGAAAGGTGTTGGAAAAGTATTTCTTCTCAAGTTCTATTTACTATTATTATTAAATTCTAATATAACCAATGCTTCAATTTATGACAATATGGTTCCACGTATATATCTATCATATCTGATATTTTAGATAATAAAATTAATTTATTCAATATATTTCTTAATCGAGTAAAATTAAAACTTATGAGACTTGATAATAATGATGAAATAGATTTAGAAATTTTCAATATCTATCATCCTCATATTGAAGATACATTTAATGAAAGTTTAATACATATTCAACCACAATCAATTATTCCAGTTTCCATAGGACGAGAAATTCAAGCAAAAACAGAATTAATTGATGCTCTTTTATTAAAACATATTCGAAATTCATTAGAAAATTATGAATATAATAATGATATCATACGATATTTATGCGAAACAATTTTAACTATTACAAGTGAAAATGCAATAAACATAGTTCAAAAATGAATCTATGCATTACATTACAATTAATTAATTTTCCATTGATTGAATCTAGTTTTTATCTTCAGCAATTACTTAATAATTCCTATTCACCAAATATACAAATATCAATTGAAATTTTTAAGGAATATATACTTCATAGTGAAATCAAATCATTATTTTATCATTTATTATTACATGCACATGTAACTGAAGAACAACTTGAACAATTTATGTTATCTATTTGTCAATTAGCACGTCAATTATCTAATATTGAATAAGTTGTATTGTTTGATGAAGTTAATACAACATCATGTCTTGGACTTTTTAAAGAAATGTTTATGGATCGGACATTACATGGAAATGATTTATCAAAAAATATTTTTTTACTACACCTATTAATTCATCTATTATTTCTAACGATGATAATATTATTCATAGACGAGATTTTCTTGTACATCAATTATCACAAGTATTAGAAAGTTTAAAAGTATCTTATGAACCATTAGAACAAACATGATTAAAAACTTACATTGAAAAGGAAATTCTTATATTACATGGAAATTCGAAGCATACACAACAAATAGAAATGCCATTAGAAAAATATAATTATTAGCTTAAAAATAATTTCGAGTTTACTCTATTATTCGTCGAATAAAAGTATATTAAAGAACTATTTTAATGATATAAATTCTATGTTTAGTTTATTGATAAAACAAAGTTTTAAGAAATAATCAAATCGAATAATGAAGATAGATTTTTTTCTATGGAAAACTCTAAATTTTAAAATGTTTTCATCATCGATTAATCAAGATTCTTAACGAAGAAAAAGAACTAAAGAAATCTTTGAATATTGTTACAACAGAAATATGCAGGCAAGAAATATCATACAATTTTTATTGGATCATTTCAAATAATTGATTGTTAAAATTAAGCAGACTAAATCATTTTCTAAATATGACTCATTATCTTTTCTTACATATAAAAATCCTTATAAACAAATCAGTGAGGGTGTGGATACGCAAGCAAGCTAACAATTTATTCTCACTCGACTTTTCTCTACGAGACAGAATAAATCATATATTCTTGATTTATAATTTTATTGAAGGAGAGGGATCAATCAGTTCGGTTTTTTATTCAGTCTATTTATATAGACGCAATATATTTGTTTTCTTGTTTCATTTCATCTGATTCTACTTCTAGATTTTTTCCCATTGTTCTCAACGAATATAAATTTGATCGATTTCAAACACTTATTATGCCTGACTTTGGTCGATGTACTGAGCTGACATTCATATAATCAAACGACTGTTCGTTTATTCGATTGTGCACATCATTACATGAAAATGGTTTATCTTCAACATTTCATTGAACATCAACGTTTATTTGAACACAATAAGAAAACACTTAGAAGATCATCAATTGAAACTTACATGTCGTTTTTCTATTTATTCATTATCAATATGAACAAAAGCTAGATGATTATAAAAGATTAGTTATTGGAGTTAATTCTTTATTCGATAACAATTTTAAGTCTGATAAATTATTAAGTAAGAACTTTCTTGACCTTGATTTAAATATTAAATAGTTTTAAATAAAAGCTAAATGCAGAGTTAAAGCCACAAATATTTAAGTAGAAAGTTAAATATATTATTATTGAAGTAATAAAATCGAGGATAGGTATTTGTGTACTTGCGATTATTATTATGTTTGTTTGTTTGTTTGTTTTATCTTCGTTATACTTTGATGACGTCAGTATAACATTTACTATTATTTATAAGTTTAAGATAAACTTTTATAGATAGATATATAGACATAGAATCGAGAAAGATATCTCTGCTTATAGATAAAGAACGATAGTAATATGTGAATTCAGTAACACATATGATATGAAAAGAAAAGATCCATACGTATTTCATTTACATATATAACGACAATTAAAAGAAATAATTAACTGACTACATACTATTTCTCATATGAAAATAAAAACAAAATCTAATATTTTTAACTTATTTCAAAAAACAAAATCATCGTCGGATTGTAAATGAACATTATGAGAGAAAACATGTACAATATTCGAGATATAAAAATGAAAGAAATATAAATGAAAAAAGCACACAGATATTATAGTACTATTTTATTACTGACAGGAGAGAAGATGAAGAGAAAATGCATATATACTATATGATCATAATTAATCTTTATTAGAAATTATCTTCTAGTAATAAAATTTATTCAGCAATTCAACTTTAGTTAATTTATTTTTGTTTTTAACATTAATTCGAAATCATGGCATATTTTATTGTCTATACTTCAAATTAAAGTAATTAAACAAAAATATAGTTGTTTTTTATCATAGTTCTATATAAGAATTGATTATTATTAGAATCTTTTAGAAGATGATTTATGATTTATAGATTTTGATCGACTGAAAAAGATTAATTTTTATTTTGATAGTTTCATTCTACATATACTAAT